GCAGCAGCTGCACGCTGCTGGATGTACCTGATGGCCTCAGTCTGCTTTGGTCAGCGGAGAACTGCTGGGCAAGTTTTCCACCGTGTTGCCGAAAAGGCCAGCCTGGGACACAGGGGCGTTCAAGAATCGTGTCTTGTCCGTCTCGCGCATGTCAGCCAGTCACAGCCAGAAATGGAGCTCCTGGACCACCATAGTGGACATCGCATGACCCAGAGACCGCGCCGTAACCTTCGTCGCTCGTAGTGCGAGGTTCGCCGCGGTGCGGAGTTCTCTGCAAATTTCCGGGTCGTGACCACCCTCGTGCAAGTCCCTCAGTGCCTTGGCCTGGTGCACTTGCAATCACGCCGTAGCGTGTAAGGCGGAGGCAGCTTCTCCACAGGTCGTATAAGCATCACTGGCCAGTCGAGTACCTACAGACCCGGGAGGGGAGGCACGGTTCTCCCTGCCGGTTGGAGGCGGTATTAGGACACGACTGCATCGCAAACGACTGCTCCAACGGGGGGGACCCTTGTAACCCCCTAGCTGCCCCACCATCGAGGGTGGTGAGGGAGGAGGAACCAGCAGATTGGTTTCCGGCAGTAAAAGATGCCGTCCACGACCTATTGAGTTCCTCATGCACCTCCGGGAAGAAAGGCACCGAGGCAACTCGTTCAGTCTTCTTCTCTCAGTAGAGTAGTCAGGAGGAAAACGATGTGATCGCTCGCCTCCGAAGCGAAAAGCTGAATATGCGCTGCATCTGCTGCCTACTTATACTCATGCTGTGATCAGCGGCAGCTGGATGCGAAAATCGCATGCCAATGTGCATTGGCTCGTTTAGTTTACATTTGAAGTAGATTGGTCTCTCTAAGCGAGATCCCAATTCGTCGGTCATCCGACTTGACGTCGAGAGTGACCGACTGAAAGGGAACTATAAGTATGAAATATTATTACAATTTAAAATAACAGTTTTCTATTGCAGTCTTTAGCATCAGATGATCCTTCAGAAATGCTCAAAAACATGTCTTATCACAGTTGAAAACAGTTGTGCTGCTTAATATTTTTGTGGGAACCAATCATACTTTTTTAGGGATTCTGATGAATAGATGTTTGAAAGAACAGCTTTTTAATAGAAATCTTTTGTATTATTGTGTTTATTATTTTATATATATTTTCTTTACTGTCACACCAATTTAATTCATTCTTGCTGAATAAAGGCACTTATTTCTTTTTTTAAAAATCTTGCTGACCCCAAATCTTTGAACGATTGTGTACAAATATATAATTGATTATTATTTTAGCTCTTCAAAAGAAAAGAATCACTAGCATCATGTTGCATTGGTGTAAAATTTGTAAATGTAACATTTTTTTTATTTGTATTCAACTACAAAACTTCTCAAAAAGCCCACCCCTACTAAGGAAGTTCCTCACTGATAGAGTTCAGACAGGAAGATGCATTCATGTGTTCTACTGAGGGCCCAGATGAAATTTTCTTTACATTTTCTGCATTCATTTACAGTAGTGGAGAAATAGACTTTAATAAACACCGCTGATAGTAATCTTTTTGGCAGCTGAAAATGAATACACATATATAATAATTGTACATATTGTGTCACATTGTGAATGATGAGCATTCCATTTCTGTGGAGTCACAGATTGTGGGCCTGGGTCTGGGTCAGAACGGCCCCTTCATTTCAGTGGTAGTGTGAGAAATTTGGAGCACTATGACAAGACTCGGTGTTCAGTGAATGTGTGCAGTCAAGCCTGCACACACAAAAGTACACACACTAAATGGTTTTTATTAATCATTCATATGTATACGCAACATCCATTAATGCAGCCTCAAGGGTGTGGGTCCAAACGATGTGCGTGTGTGAATGTTTAAGGTCAATCCTCCCCTCTGCACACAACATTTACATTTATGTATACCTTGACCTTTCGCCTTTACGTTTTGTGCATAAATCATTTTGGCCATCTTCTGTTGACATGCACACAATGCCATGACATGTTCATGCATGTACAACATATTAGTTCACACTATGTTTGGGCTTTCCATGTCTGTTTTTGTTCATTTATTACTGATTTTATGTGTGTGTGTGTGTGTGTGTGTGTGTGCACGCTGAGAGAGAGTGAGCAATGAGTGTGAGTGTCCTCACTGAAATAACACATTATACAGTCTTACAGCCCAAGGGAAGAGCCGAATGGCTTCAGGAGACCTGTGAGGTCTCTCTTAGCGGCGGATGATGTAACCCTATTGCAGTGCTAGTGAGTGCAGTTAAAATTTTTATACTGGGTCTGGTTGTAAATCTCAGGTAAGCTGTATTGGAAGTATGGTATGGAAGTATGAATGTATTCCATTCTCAACAGAACTACTAGAAAATTCATGACAGTTAGGGTATTTCGAAAAACTCCCATCTCATTTTCTCCTCCAACTTCAAAATTGTCCTACATCGCTGCAGAATCCCAGTGTTTACAAAGTGAACATGCACTTTGAGTATTTTTTATATATGTTAATATGTCTTTTATGTTATGTCTTTTTGTGCAGCATGCCCTTTGTCCAAGCCAAATTTCTCCCATGGGAGACGAATAAAGTTAACCTAAACTAACCTAAAGAAGGTCAAACTCCCTTTACGAAAAATGGTAAAACAGCGATGTAGGACGATTTTGAAGTTGGAGGAGAAAATGAGATGGGAGTTTTTCGACATACCCTAACTGTTAAAACGTTTATAAACTGTAAACTTTTTTAGAAAATAACCGATCGTTTCACTAGATAAGACCCTTCTTCCTCGGGTTGCTATCGTTTAGAGCCCTTTGAAGCTGTATTTAAACTGCATTTTGGAAGTTCAAACTCGGGGGCACCATAGAAGTCCATTATATGGAGAGAAATCCTGAAATGTTTTCCTCAAAAAACATAATTTCTTTACGACTGAAGAAAGAAAGACATGAACATCTTGGATGACAAGGGGGTGAGTACATTATCTGTAAATTTTAGTTCTGGAAGTGAAATACTCATTTAAACTTAGAGAACAAGTGACAAATCGCATTACGTTATGATTAATTTTAAACTATTATAGTGGGCATTGTTTAGTTTTTTTAAAGTTGTAGTTTTTTCTTTGATGAAAAAGTCATTTAAATTTAGTCAGTATCTTACCATGTCATGCTTATTTATTTTTTTAAAGATTTATTTTTGGCATTTTATTGTGATAGGACAGTTATGAGACAAGAAGTGAAATGGGAGAGAGCATGGGACGGGACCAGGGAAAGTCCACGAGCTGGCACTCGGCATTATACATCGGCGCTTTCCCCACAAGGCTATCTGCGCCAACATGCTTATTCAATTTTGTCCATTTTACTGACTGAAATTGCGTGATGATAATGTGCAAAACAATCAGTGTTGTTATTGTTAGCTTAAAAACTATTAAAAATGTTTTTATTGAAATAAAGCTCAAATAAAATAGAAACATTAAAACTTAAATCTGAAACTATTTATTGTTGACTAAAAACTATTTAACTAAAACCTATTAAAACTATTAAATTTTTTTATTTTAATTCAAATAAAGCTAAAATAAAATAAAATAGAAATATTAAAACTTAAATATGAAATACTCACTGAAATAAGTTTAAGATGACTAAAGTTGACTGAAATTTAAGTCAAAGATATGAATCAATTCACGTTAAAAATAAAACTAAACAGAAACATTAAAAATAATAAAAATGACAAAAGCACAGCAAAATTTAAAGTAAAATTGTAATATAAAAATAAAAGCTAACTGAAAATATTAATAAGTACTACAATAGTATATAAATAATACTAAAATAACACTGGTGCATGGGAATGTGTTAAACTGTAACATTCTGAATAGCAAGTACCTTTTTTTTTTTAAAGGACCTGTTAATATTTTGTGTCATTAATATATATTGAAATATAGTGTTTTTTTTTCTTCTTGCCATATTGTTGTCATCTGAATAACAAATGAGACCCTGGACCACAAAACCAGTCTTAAGTCGCTGAGGTATATTTGTAGCAAGAGCCAACAATATATTGTATGGGTCAAAATTATAGATTTTTCTATAAGATCATGTTCCATGAAGATATTTTGTAAATTTCCTACCGTAAATATATCAAAACTTAATTTTTTATTAGTAATATGTATTGCTAAGGACTTAATTTGGACAACTTTAAAGGCGATTTTCTCTATATTTTGATTTTTTTGCACCCTCAGATTCCAGATTTTCAAATAGTTGTATCTCGGCCAAATAGTGTCCTATCCTAACAAACCATACATCAATGGAACTCTTATTTATTCAGCTTTCAGATGATCAGATGCTGAAATTGGTTTTGTGGTCCAGGGTCACAAATCAAGAAATCCTTAGTCAATATAAATTTTCATTAGTACTTTCATTGATGAGATGAGCATTGATAAAATAAGTGTGAGACATACCTTGACTTCCACGTGGGCCATAAGCACTGCAAAGTTAGTGAGGTGTGTGCAGGAACAGGAGGTGTGAGTGCGGTTGGTGCCGAGTAGTCTGCAGTCCTGAGTGGACCAATATCCCGTCATAGTGCGTTTGGAGTAACTCCAAAAAGAGCAGTTCGGATTGAAGTTCTCTTCCGACTGCTGGAATGAGGAGATGCACATCATAAACTCGATTATAGTGACGGAAATACACACAGAAAAGATCCTGAAAGATGAAATTGTACGAGTATATAATTACCTGTATGTGTTTGACAGTGAAGACCACAGGTTCAGACAGGTAGACCTTGTTACTGTCTTTATTAATAGCTGCTGTAATAACAGGTGAGTTGACTATCAGGGAATAGTTTGGATAGGCCGCTACACTGCCCAGACGCACGCTAGCGTTCTCCGTGGACAGATATTGACCGAGGTTCTTATAGAGAACAAGCGCCATGCGGATCTCACCTGAGGAATAGAAAACACACAAGCGGTCAGTCTGGAAAGTGACAGATAGGGAATTAGACAGAGATGGACAAAGACGAATTACCATTGCGTCCTTGCTGTTTGAGTGTGTTGGCGGAGAGATGAATGGAGTTGCTGGTTAGTCCAGATTGAGGGAAGATTAGATCAACCAGATTAACATCTGTACTTAGACGTGCCACCTCCAGTTCTGCAAAACATAAACAAGCTCACAATTAAATGCTGCCCTCTATCAGACTGGAGGAAAAAATACTGATAAAACAGTCTATTTATTTATATATATATATATATATATATATATATATATATGAGACAAGAGAAAATACAGACAGACAATTGATTTTCCCCTTTTCAAAATCTTGAAAGGTTCACGCGGTGGATTAAAATCTGTGTCACCCCTCATTCTAAAATGAATATATTTAAAGTGCACATCTGTAAGAACACCCACATTTGCTTAATGTTAATTCATTTACGTATGGATTCAGGTCACAGTAGAGGTGACAGCTACTAAAAAGCTCACAGTAGCGCAGATGGTGTGCTGCAGAGACAATAGAAGCAGTTCTATTCACTTAGGCTAATGTTATCATTTGTAATCGATTTCAAATGAGGCTTCTCTCTTTTCAGTTGACTGTGATAAGCGTTTGTCTCAATACTGAGTTGCAGGTTTTAATTCAACTGTTTCTTTAAAGAAAGATAAAAGATGATTTGCAAGCTCACACTTCATTACAGCTCACGAAGAATTGTACAAGAATATTATACTGAAAAATTCATTTTTATGAGATGTTCTGTAAGGCTAGCGACAGTGACAAAGAGGGCAGAGCTTTGCGAAGGGTCAGTTACACTATTCAGAACAGGTCTTTTTAATCAGTGCTGATTATGCAAATCAAAGGAAGAATTTATTAGTATTATTTATTTGTTATTTTAGTATATTGTATAGTACTGTATAACATATAGTATAGTTTTATATATTCAGATTTTATTTTATGCCCAGTTTAAGCTTATTTCTAGTTTAAGTAATTTTGTATTTGTCATTTTTAATGTTTTTATTTTAATATTTCTATTTAGCTTTAATTGCATTGTTTCTTTTCAATTTTGGTCAGTTTTGTATTTTAAACATATTTTACTTCTGTAAAGTCAATAAGTGAAAACATTTTTTATCTAACATTTTATTTAAATTCTGTTTCATTTTTCATTTATGCAAATTATTTTTAATAGTTTAAGTTAACAATAAAAACATTGATTGCTACTACCATGGTCTTTCAAGTAAAGTATAAAAATAAATGTAATAAATTATGAATACAATAATTAACAATTACATAAAGACACATTTTCACGTTACATGTAGGTTAATATATAAGCAGGGTAAATCAAATCTGTAAATGCGCTCTATACATTCCTTAACGCATCTGTAAAAAAAAAAAAAAAAGAAACGTTTCTTTTCTTTGAAGAAA